GAGCGAGGGAGGGCGCCTGCCCGCCCTGTGACACGGGCCAAAACACGGGCGTTAATGAAGGGCTTCCCTGCAGCTGCAGGAAGGACGCGGTGCTCTGCACACCGGTGCTGTCAGCCCCAGGGAGATCTTCATGACACCCAGTGCAAAGGCCTTGTGAAAGCGTAAAACAAGTGCAGGCTCCTTGGAGTATCCCCTTGAGAGCGCCCTGCCCTCCCTACGGCATCTGGGACCTGCTGGTTACACCACGGGCAGCCCCAGATCTGGCTTTTAACCCAAATCGGTTAAAAAGCACCCGCGTGGGGAGGGAGAGGCACTGCCCGCTCCGTTTTATTAGGCATTTTGTGCTGGAAGGAGCAGTGATGAAATGGGACACGGCAGAGAGGAGATGACACGATTTAAGAGCGCAGACACTTCTACAGAGAGCAATAAAAGAAACGGAAACGAAAAGAACAGGGATTAATCTTGCACTGCGGGTCGCCTCGCTGCCAAGAGCAGTGCTGACAGGGGCAATGAGAGGAGCAGCAAGCCGAGCCCGGGCCGCAGCCGCGTCTGGGGACAGCCAGGCTTACGTCCGTGATGAGGGATTTGAGGAAGTTGGCCTTGTGCCGCAGCGGGTCGTGGACCAGCCCGTCGCAGAAGGAGACGATCCCGTGGGGGAAGTTGTGCTGTGCCAACCACGCCACCACCCTCTGCTTCTGCATGTCGGGGCGGCCCGTGACGTAGATTATGAGGTAGCCGAGGTCTTGCCAGTGCCTAGAAGAAAAGCCACAACCCGCCGGGTTACAGAGCTACGGCAAGGCCGAGATCCAAGCGAGCCGACCGCCCCAGCCCTGACCTTACGACGTCGACCGCTCCAGCGCGGACCTTGGGGTCGCTGCCCATGATGGACACGCTGGCTGCGAAGGAGCCGTCGATGCTGAACACCACGAACTCCGTCCCCTTAGGCAGGACTGTGATGTAGCTGTCTGCAAACGTGTGGTCGCCCCTGAAAGGGACACGAGTATTTAAAGGCTTCAAGATGCAGAGGCTCTTTTGCAAGGCATTGCAAGCCCAGGGGAGGACCCCAAATCTGGCTTCAAGACTCCACTGGTTATGCCACCCTTGTCTACAGCAGTGGTGGGTGCTGCAGGAAGACCAGTGAGCTAAAGCAGGGCTGGGAACAGTATTCTGGAGCCCTGGCTTTAGTGCATTTCAGTGGTTCAAAAAACACCCTCAAGAAGATACTGTTAGTTTTGCCACTGAAAAGATGCTCCCTTCCTCCTCCTCCTCCTCCTGACAGAGCTGAATACCAGCAATCAGAGCTGAGTTGAGCCCTGGGCTGTGACTTACCATGAAAACAAAGTTCTGTCCCTCATGGACAAGTTCACGGTCTTTAAAATATGTCTAGTTGTGTAGTATTTGCAAATGACAGTGGGGCCTTATGTCTGGGGTGCAGAAGGCCTGCCCTGGGGTGGGAAATCAATTACCCTGCAGCTGGTGAGAGCCAAATGCAGCTTCTCCTCTCAGAGCCGTGGAGTAAACACGACTTTGTCTCATTGCTGATAAATCAGACTCTAATGCACCTGAGAGTCTGAGCTCCCACATAAGGAGGGACCATATTCCGCAGTCATTTTCCCAACCAAGTTCCTCTTTCCTTCATTGGCAACAGACGTGTGGTTTTGTATCATGCAACCACAGGGCCTGTTTCCAGCACTTTGTGTCCTCCTGCAGACGCCACCATGCAGGCAGCCTCACCTGACCACCATCTTCACGGGGTACACGCCAATGCCCAGGCGGCGGCTCTCTGGGATGACGTAGGAGATCCTGCCGCTGCTGTTGCTGATCTCGGTGTCGAAGTAAACCCACTCCCCGGACGGCGGCTGCGTCATGATGTGAATGTCCACCTGAGAAGGCAGTGGGGCTGAGTCAATAACAGCATCCAAGGTGACACAACAGGCCACTACAACAGGCCAAGCGCTGGCATCTTCTCCCCAACTCCCTTTGCCGAACAGCAGTGCCAGGTCCTGACCTGCACTTTGCAGAGCTGGGAAGTGCCCCAGCATCCCAATATGGGGATGAAACCTGGTGAAATCAGCTCTGAAAACCAACCTGGTCACAGCTGGTCCTGTGGTGGCACCAGCTGTGCGTGAGCAGGGGAGCCCGGCAAGGACCAAGGGTGCCAGACCCAGGCAGGGACCATCTCCCCACACCCTCGCTGCCCCCAAGGACGGTTTTCCCAGCACGGTGCCAATCCCCCCGCGCAGACACGGTACCTTTTCCCCCGTGAGTGTGACCATGTCTAACGGACCGTACATAAACCTTCCAGTTAAGGTCTGGGGCCCGTCTTCATTAGCGATGGTGTCATTTATCCTGTGGTTGGCTGTGACATTCTGCACAAATCAAAGGTGGAAAAGAAAAGGTAAGAACAAGTGAGTGAGTCCCCTGAGTGTGTGGAATGGGCACCACACGGTGCAAGGCCAAACACAACAGGTCTAACTGAGCGCAGGTTCCTCTGGGTTGTGGCCTCCCTCTGCATCCCACAGCTTTAGATGAGAAAGAAGTTTTGACCCACAACAGCGGTGAGCACCTGTGCCCCACAGAAATGGGGGTTTGACCATACCTACCCTAAGAGCCAACTTAAGCAGCAGCGATTAATTCCGGTCCTACCCCAGAGGAACGTTGGATTTAGGAGGCAACACATACAGTTTCCAGCAGAAATCTGCTGACATTGTTTTAGTTCTAGCACAGAACTGTCTCTTTTGGGAATCAGAGATGTTTCCTGAGAGTGAAGGGCGTTACGGACTGGGCAACTCAGTCTTTTGCATGTGGAAAGGAGCTCGACCGCGGTCCCTCCCGCAGCCCGAACCCGCCGGCCCCTCTCCCTCACCCGCAGCTTCACGTGCGTCCTCTTGCGCAGCCACTTCTCCCGGGGCTTGGAGGGCGTGAAGACGGACACCTCCTTCCCGTCCAGCTCCAGGACGCTGCTGTTCTCGTGCCTCATCACCTGCGGGACGACAGAGCCCTCCCCACGTTGGCCACGGGACCTCTCCTTCTGCCCGCGCCAACCCAGCCCTTCGGAAAGCTCAGGTGAGCACTGCCAGCCCCAGAGACGCTTTCGGCTTCGCTCCTTCTCTGCTGGGCACTGAAAACCACACACAGAGCTTCTCCTTCACTGCGGTTACATTTGGTGCTATTCTACACTAAGAAGGTTTTCCTCAGGTTTCAGGGTTGAGATCCAAACATGCATCCAGGGAGCAGCTTGCTGTTGAGAAGGGAAAAGAGAGGACAGAAAACAGGTCTGCAGCCGCAAAGGGGGTTTCTTCCCCATCTCCAAACCAAAAAGAGTTCCAGAAGGCGCCAGCGGAGGGGGAAAGCAAAGGAGTCCTAACAACCTCCAGCAGAAACGTGGCCTGGGCGGCCCGTACCTGTCTCAGCATTTTTCGACGTCCGTGGACTCCCAGTAGCTGGCGTGGAAGAGGTGCGGCAGGGCCACGGTGGGGAAGGCCGTCAGCGCGTCGGGGCAGTACAGGGCATAGTCGATCCTCTTGGTTCCCCACCACTTGGCGGCAACTGGAAGGAGAAGGAGCCTCGTTGAAGAGGGCTGGCCGGCGCGCGCGGCCGCAGGCCCCGATGCACGTGGACGCAGCGGCTCCTCGCTCCAGGACACGCTGGGAAGCTGCTCCCGGCTGCTCTTCCCGGGGAGACGGGACAGAGCCGGGCCAGGGCTCGCACGGCGGCACCAGCACCTTTGCTCAAAGGGAAAGGAAGGCACTAGGGCAGGTATTAACCCCTGGGCACCGGGACCCCAGGCAGGATGTGCCCAGGGCCCCACGTCCTCCTCCTCAGACTTTCACAAAGGGATAAAAACTCTTTGGCATCCAAGTATCGGCAGCACCGGGCAGGATCCGAACCCTGGGAGCCCACAGAAATGGTCAGAGATGCCAGTTCGGCCTCCCCGCGAGCACGGATGGAAAAAGCATCCTGGGCTCCAGCACTCTGCACTGGAGACTGAAAAAGAACCTGGGATTTGGAGCGGGGGGTAAAGTTAAAGCCAGCAGAGATCAGTTTCTCCCCCAGGCAGACGGGGACAGGCTCCCCTGTGGGACATGGCCCCAGGCTCCGGCGCTGCCCCGGCCCCACGCTCAGCCTGAAGACTCTGACCCTGCTGCCGCCTTCCCGCCCGCTCCGGCTGCGGAAAGAGGAGCCAAGAGAGGAGAGCAGGGAGAGGAGGCGCAGGCGCATGCACGCTGCGAGCTGGGGCTTTGCAAGGCCTTTCCCCAGCTCCATGCTGACTATTCTCCCCTTCCAGGGGCTTCCAGGTGTAAGGCACAATCCATCAAAACCCTCGTGAGAGGGGGAATCCGACTGGCACCGAGCACGGGCGATGGGCAGAGGTCACAGACCCACCGGCTCCTTCCAGAGCCCCGTGCAAGCTCCCCCCACGCCAGAGGCACAGGCATCCCAACGGCTCCAGCATTCCCAGAGAGCCCCGGGCAGGCGGAGAGGGCACTGCTGTGGGAGGCTTTTCCGGAGCGCTCAGCCCTCTCCTCGCAACCGTGTCCGACCCCGCGCTCCAAACTATCAGGTCCTGGTCACGTCCCAACCTTCCACCTTCCATGCACGTCCCCAGCTCAGGCACCATTCGAACGAAGCAGCCGGGATTTGCTGTTCCATGCTCAGAGGACAGCACGAGAGTGGTGTCGGCAGACCCGTTTCCCAGAGGAAATGCTGCTCTTGCTGCTGTTAGCAGTGTTAGGGCAGATCTTTAGAGTAGAGTGACAGAAATACTTGTTAAAAAAAGTGCAATCGGAAACCGCAAGTGCCTCGGTGAAAGGAGAAAGTGCGTAGATTTTGCTGTGAAGTTTGGTGATACCAAGTGCCAGAGGAGGCTGGAGCAGAACGCCTCGCTCCGGAGTACCTTGCTTCATGTCCAGGTCGGGTATCCGAAGAGCACAGCCCGCGTCCCGGCTCCATGGCCCTTCGAGCTTTCTTCCTAAGTGACTCGGAGGGATTTCATGCTTACGCGGCCTACGTCTCTTGGACGAGGTCTGGGTAGGGGATTTGTGAGGGAGGGCAAGTTGGGCCAGAAGGCTAAAGCCTCTGCAATGATTAAGGTGGTATTTGGTTTCTAAAAATAAAAATAAAATACAGGAAACAAAGCAGAAATCACACATTATTAAGGCATCCGCGCGCTGAAGGCAACAGCGTTTTCATGCTCCGGAAATTCAGAGGGCAAGAAGGATGTGCACCAGGGAGAGCTCCTAGGAGGAAACTGCGACTCCGCGGCGCCGCCTGGATTTCCTCCT